GGTTAAATAAATAATTTGGCATCATGAAACTTAAATTTCTTGTATCAAAAATTACCAAAACGTTCAATAAAGCATACAAATAAATTTAATTGCAGTCCAACCACTTAAGGATACAAATCCCAGTAATCATATTGACCAAAAGTTGCCTAGTGGACCAGATGACAAAACTCGTCCTCCTGGGGTAATTTTTCCAAAAGATCAGAAGCATTCTGACCATGAAAATGATGAAACCTTCAAAGGTATCTTCAGAAACCAAGCTGTGCCTTCTGCTCCTGGTGAAAATCCTGAAACCAAAGCAAAAAATCATGATCAGACATCTGAAAATAGTCTTGAAGGATATAATCATACATCACAAGATAATTCAAATCTTGAGAATGCCCTAGGTGACACAGAACATCATAATTCCGATGAAAACCTAAAAAATCATGATCAGGCAACTGCAAACAATCTTGATGCTGGTCATCATCATACATCACACAAAGATTTAGATCTTAATGATGCCCTAGACGAATCAGATCGTCATAATTTAGTACCTCAAGATGAAACTAGAAACCAACATGAATACCAAGATGAAACTCAAGACAATCTTCACCAAGGCTACAAGGAAATTCCTGGTGTTCAGGAAGAACTTATTGTACCATCAAAGTATCCAACAACTCAAACTGACCAACAAGATACAATAAACTATCCTTTTGTTTCAACAAGTACACATTATCCAGACACTTTTGAAACACCAGAAAATCAAATACATCCTTATTTATATCCCCAAATGGGTCCACCATATCCAGACACATTTGAAGCACCAGAACATAACCAAATATATCCTTATCCAAACCCACATTTTGGATATCAAAACTACTTAGACGACTTTCCAAACCAATTACCTTTCAACTCATATGCACCCCAATTTCCTTATCACCAAAATCTTATCCTTACTACCAAAATCCTTCTTTCTCATTTTACCAAAATCCTTACCAAGACGACTTTTATCCCAATATCATCCCAGAAACTTCTACAATTCACAAACTACACGTTGGCAAAAGTTCAAAAATTTTATGCAAAAACCTATAAATTCCTTAAGAAATCATTTTAACAATTTATCAGATAAAGTCAAAAATTGGTTTAGTAAACAAAATAATAAAGATCAGGATAAGATTGAAAGCAAATCTTTAACTTTGAAAGATTTTGCTAATCCTGAAATTGTTCAAAAGTTTTTGGAAAATTTGAGTAGAGTTTTGAGTAATATTAGACCTAGGGTTTATGATAGCTCAGAAGTTGTAAATTATGCTAAAAATGTTTTGAAGGCTATTACAGATAGTATAAGTAAATATATTTCGCCTAAATAAATTAAAATTGTTTATATTAATAAACTAAAATTTAACATCTAAAAGATATATTGAACAAATAGAATTAAAAACACTTTATTTTTTGTATAATTCACAAATACGGTCCTTTTATGAATAGAAATCGATTGTTTTTCGAATAATTCAAAACCCAAATCGTCGACAGAAAATTGTATCCACACATACACAACACATACATTTTTGTAAGGTACGCCAAAATGTTCAGAAAAACAATTTAATTGTTTTTAATAATTAATGTTGTAAAGTTAATTTTAAACATATAATTATATTTAGCAGAAAAATGTGCAGTCAATGTTTTAAGAAAATAAAATGTAACTATTGTTTTTTATAATTGTTAGACCTTATTTTATTTTTTTAAAAAATGCAAGATGAACATCAGTTTTTTTTTATTAATTTCATTATAATTTTTAAAATATTAAAATAATGTAAAAGCAGACTTAAGATAATTTTGAAAAATTTCAGTCAGTTTCTATGAATTTTTTTCAAGTTTTTTTTTACAATTTTATTTCACAAATTTTGTAAAAAAAACTATAATTTTCCATAGAGGTTCTATATTAAATGCATTACAAATTTTTAAATGTAATAAAAATAATAATAGAAATAAATTTAGGCCTTGGATACTTTTATCAGTTTTTTAGTAATTACAATTTTTTTAAAAGAAATAAAATTAATAAATTTAGACCTAACATACTTTTAAAGTTACTTAATATTTTTATATTTAATTAGTTATATAACTATTTAAAAAACTATATATTTTATATTTATAATTATATTCATATACGCCTAAAATTTTTTGTAATTTTTGTAAATTTCTATGCATTTTTTTTAAGTTTTTTTCTATTTTATTTAACAAATTTTGCAACAAAAATGCAGTATAAGATATAACAACAAATTGGATACATGTTTTTTACAAATTTTATTAAAAATTTTAAAAGAAAATTAAGAATAATAAATTCAGGCCTTAGATTTTTGACTAAAGTCAAATATATATAATATATATATATATATATATATATAGATTATTTATAATTATATTTATAGATGCCTATCAATTTTTGTATTTTTTTATAATTTTGTTTATTTTTTTAATGTTTTTTTCTAAAATTTATTTAACAAATTTCGCAGAAAAAAATGCAGTATGAGATAAAACTAAAAATTGAACATCTCTTTTTTTTGTTAATTTCATTATAAATTTTTAAATATATTAAAATAATATAAATTCAGGCTTTAGATACTTGACTAAGATAATTAGTATCCTTATAATTAATTAGTAAATTTTTTATTTAAATTAAAAAATAAATATTATGTACGCCTACCACCTAATGATTTTTCTTTGTAATTCTCTATATATTTTTTTAATGTTTTTTTCTTGAATTTAACAAAAAATTTGCAAAACTGTATGAGTTAGAACTATATAGTACATCAGGTTATTTATTAGTTTTATTATAAATTTTTAAACAGAATTAAAATTATTTATATCCTTACAATTAAAAAGTTATCTCTATATTTAATTAAAAAAGATTATTTTATAATAGTTATGTTTTTATTTTCCTGTTATTTTTTGTGCTTTTTTCATTTATTCAACATATTTTGCATCTACTTTTTGAAAATAATTAACTTTATTAAAAAATTATAATTAATAAATTAATAACAAATATTTTCTTTTTTAGTATAAATTTTAAAAAGTTAATATTTTTTTACAATTACAATTGATGTTTATATTGTTATTCTAAAGAAATAAAAGTATAAATAATTAAATTGAAAATTGTTTATACTTATGTAAAATGTTATCAGCAATTAAATTTTCATATCAGGGCTATATAAAATATTAAATAAATAAAAATAAAATAATCTTATGATGTTAAAAATAAATATATAAAATTTATATTTGGTAAATTTGTGTATCCTGCAGAGTTCGTTAAAAAAATATAAAATTACACTTCAAATTTCAAAAAAGTTCTTGACCTATATACAATATATAAATTATTTCTTTACGAATTTTAGATATAATAAATTCAATAATTTAACTGTAAATAAGTCTATACGTCCTGTAGAGCTCTTCAAAAAATGCACTTTTGTCTCTAAATTCAATTTGAATTGAACACAATAATTCACATCTATAATTCTCTTTATATTATTAAATTTTAAATATAATATTTTTTAAGTATAAAATATTTATATGTGATGAATTCCATATTTAAGTTTGTATTTAGATCTGTGTATCCTGCAGAGCTCGTTAAATAATTATAAAATATTAACTCCAAATTTTGTATGAAAAAAAAAACTTTTAAAATACTTAAAAAAACAATTTAAAAAACAATTTAAAATACTTAAAAAAAATCAATATAATAATTTTAGGACTGATAAATATATTTTATAAGTACTGAAAAATAATTTGTACATCCTGCAGAGCTCTTCAAAAATACCAAGTGTATTTTTCTTCAAAAATTAAAATTAAGAGAATATTTTGGAAATTTTAAGTCGCAAAGAAAATTTTAGTAAATAATAAAGCTTTTGTTCTATGTAGTTTTATACTGTACATTTAAAAACATTTAAAAAAACTAATCAGGATTGATAAATATATATTTATAAGTATGTAAGATCATTTGTACATCCTGCAGAGCTCATTAAAAATACTAAATGTGTTTTTCTTTGAAAATAAAAACCAAAATAATATTTTAGACATTTTGAATGACGCACAAAATTAAAAATTAATTTTATAATAATATTTATATCAACCTCGTCCAAAGTTATATGCAACAAAAATTTATCGCACTCTAATAACAAATTGTAAACAAAATAAATTAAATCAGTCTAATATTATTAAACAAAATAATTTAAATCAGTCTAATATTATTAAACAAAATAATTTAAATCAGTCTAAGAATTCAAAGACGACATTCAGAAAAATATTTTGAACAAAAATGCTTGCAAACAAAATTTCTTTTATAATTTTTTTGTGCTCTTTTTTAATTCTTAAACTAAATTGTTTGGAAAACGATGAAGAACCAAATCAAGGTAAAATATTATATTTAATAATAAATATATTTATTTAATATAAATAATTTATTTTTTATATTTTATTATTATTTTCCAGATTCAGAATAAAATATTAAATTTAATAACAACATAAATAATTTATTTTTTAGATTCGAAAGTTGAAAATTTTGCAAAAGATGTCCGAGATACTCAAACAAAATTTGCAACAGTTGTGGTTGAAAATCGAATTGGATTTTTGAAAACTGTGGTTGATTCTTTTGAAAATGCTCGAAAAAGTACTCAAAGGTTTTTCCGAAATGCTGGAAAAAGTATAAAGAATTTTTGGGAACGAAAATTTGGATAAATGTGAGAAAAGATACATACTTTGAAAATTTCGTAAGAGAAAATGTAAGAACAAATTAAAATTATTTATTTCTAAAAAAAAACTAAAATATATATTAATATAATTATTCCTTTTTTCTCATATATTTTTTATTCATTTGAAAAATATTGTTTTTTATTTTCAAACAGAATCAAAATTATGAATAAAAATTTAATTTATTTAACTTAGTATAATTAATTTTGAGGGACTGTATAATACTTAATTTTTGAAACAATTTTTTAAATGTCAAGATTATTTGTTTTAATTCATATATAAACTTTATTAAATAATGTAAATAAAATAAAATTAGTTATTATTATTATTTAGTTTTTCAAACGCATCAAGCTATTTTTCTAGTTTTATTTTTTTTTCTTTCATATTATATATTTATATTATGATTACTATTATTTAATAATATACTATTTATTTTAATTTATAATCATTTCTAAATATTTTATAGCAAATTCCAGACTGAATATTTTAGTAAATAGAAACTGACACTCATTATATATTAAATATTACGTAATTTAATTATTGCAAAATGAATATATAAATTGCAAAATGTGGAAATTATATTAAATATATGTATTTAGTTTGTTTAACAGGGTTTAATAAATTTTAATATATAAATTATAATAAAATTCATATTAATCAATGTGTATTAATTCTAATATCAGAAAAATAACAATAATATAAAAATTAATGTTAATTGTGACCTATTAATTTCAGTACAATGAAAATTGAATATTATAATGCAATATTAATAAATGAAATAGAAAAATTATATAAATAAAAAAATACAAAATTAAATAGACAAAGAGAAAAATACAAAAAATCAAAAAATTTAGTGAAAATAATAATTATAAAATTTAGAAGAAAAAATAGTAAGAAATCAGGAAAATAGGAATAAAATTATAAATGTAGAAAATGAAAAATATTAGATTATAAAAATCAGTAATAAAAATAACACATAGAAATTAATTAAATAAAAATTAAAATAAAAAATAAATAAAAAAAATTATATAAATTTAACGTGAGCAATACAAAAAAAATGATATAAATTATCTGATTCATAAACAAATTTCAAAATTAGAAAGGTAAAACTGAATACAACTAATTATGTAATTATTTATTTAACTAATTTATATTTAACTAATTATGTGATGTTTAATAAATTAAAAATTAAAGTTCAATATTTAAAAATTTTTTGCTTTTATTTTTTAATTTAATTTATTTTTGCACATATTTGGAGCAAGAAATATTAGTAATAACGAAGAAAAATCTTGATGAATTTTTAAAAAAAATAATTAGAACAACTTTTGACTAATATTTTTAATTTTTGAGATAACTGTCCCAGATGCTAAAAAAAATTTTTATTTCTAATTTTTTTTTCAAAAAATATATTTGTAATTTTGGAATAAAAATTCAAAAAATGACCCAGGCTAAGCACAGTCTAAGCGCCACTCTGGTACAAATGTTTACCCAAGTGCGTTTAGACTGTTCATGTACTGGAGCACTTTTCAAATTTTACTATTGAAAAATGTGAAAATGCCGCCAAGATAAGTACAGTATAAGTGAAAATGTCGCACAGAATTATTTGCAAATGCGTTTAGACTGTGACTATACATGAGCACTTTTTCAATTGTGTGCAACTAGGAAACTATTTTTTTTTTGAAATTGAATTCGAAATGACGGACGATTGTTAACGTTCTGGAGATGAATTGATTTATAATTTATATTAATTTGCTCAGATATAACAAGACAGCAATAAAATAATGAAAGTTACAGTATTTGTAATAATATATTTGAAAACGTTTAAAATTTCTCGAATATTTCATTACGGTACGGGAAGTTACAGCAATTTGCCTTAAGGCACGATGCCATACACCCGACTGGTTAAATTTTGTATCTTTTACATATCCCTAGTTGGTTGCAAAATTTCCACCAATGCAATAATATCTATTACAAAAACAGTACCCATATGTTATGTTAATAACAAATTGTTGCAAATTGCGACAAAAAAATTGTGTTATATCAAGTTGACGCTAAAATCTAGAATTTGCGTCGAATGTGTTGCAGCAATAATTTTGTTGACGTCAGCAATATTATGATTTTCATTCTCTAAATCCCTCGAAGAAGATTTTCTCACTTTCGACAGTTGACTAAAGAGGCAGAAGAAGATTTATTAAGGATAAAAGATATTTGGGTGTTGGAAAATAGATTTTTTGGTGTGAAATTATTGGTGTTTTGGTAAATAATGAGACTTTTATTTGTGCTGCTGGTTTTTGTTAGTTGTGCTTTACCATGGGTTATTGGAGAAGGACAAAAACCAGTTTCATGTAACTATTAGACGACTTTATCTATTTATTGAATTTATAAAGAATATATTTTTGATATAAGCATATCATTGCATATATTTTTTAGAAAAAGATTGCCATTTTTAGAATTTTTTAGAAATTTAGAACCAATTTTTGGTCCAATTACGTTATCTAAGTGAAAAATTACGAGTTAAATCCAGTAAAAATGAGTTGTTAACTAAATACCTACCTAATATATAATATACCTAAATATATTGTTTTTTATGTTAACAAAATATTGGTTACAAATGTTTTATATGAGAAAAAAATTATATACGATCATTTACTAATAATAAAATGATTAAATTAATATTATTTTTATACAGTACCAATTGTATCAACTCCTTCAACAACTACTAAACGTAAGTACAAAAATTTATTTGTATATATTTTTATTTATAGCAAATTATGGTTTTATCTACAATTTTTTTTATAAAAATAAGAAATGTTTTAATATTTAGTATTTACAAACAAAAATTATTATAAATTTTAACAAAACTTTTAAAACTAATATTATTTTTGTACAGCACCACCTCCTCCAGCACCTTCTACAAGTAAGTAGATTGTATATTTATATATTTTTAAAATTTATATTAACTATTAATTTGTTATTTTATTAATGTTAATACTTTATTTATTTGTGATTCAGAACCACCAGAAACTAAGTCTGCACCTTCTCCAGGTAAATATAATATTTGTATATATTAAATAACTTTCTAATAATATATTTTACATTATATTCTTAAAAACATACTATTTTATTTTTTGTAACATAATATTTTTCATAAGTACTTATCGCACTTTCAGAAATATATTTAATACAGTATGAGTAGCAATTCAATCAAATTATAAAAAAGTAAGTTATATAAAAGTTCAAATATAATTTTTGGGCAATTTTATTTTATTTATTATTGAATACATTAGTAGTTGAATAATTATTAGTCTAATAATAATAACAGCTACTAAGGTATTGAATAATTACTTTGTGATTTAGGACCAAGAGGACCTCGACCTCCTCTTTCGACACCAGGTAAATATTATTTTGTTAAATGATTGCTTTTTTAGAAAAAATACACATATATACTAAATTGTTATCGTGATAGACGTCTAAATTAATTGCCATATTTTCATAAATGACAATGCTAATTTTATGAACACAGTTTAAATATGAAATAAAAATAGGTGGACAGACATTCGATCAAAATGAATTTCATAAAACAGTTTAAATATAACATCAGATTTTGTTTTGCGTAATAAGACTCTTAAAAAAATCATTTTATTTACTAATAAACAATTAGAATATTTATTGCATAGAAATTGATATTTTGTTTTTTGTTATTTAGTGCCACCATCAGGAGATTCTTCTTCTCCACCAGGTAAAATAATTATATCAATATATTATTTATTCCAACTACTAGTTGTTAAAATATTGTGTTTTTTAGAAAATCTTGGAGTTAATATAAAAAAAATTGATAATGGAAACAATTTAAAACGCATAAAATTGTTCAAATATAAAAGATGATTTAATTTTGTGTAATTTCAATTTTTAAGAAAATCATTTTATTTTGTATTTAATATATTAAATTATTCATTGTATAAACAATAGGCAATTTAATTTTTTTTATTTAGAACCACCATCAGATCCTGATTCTTCGTCTTTGCCAACTGCAAAATCAGGTAAGGAATTGATATATAAAATTATTAATATATTTTGGAATACAATAAAATAAATTGAAAACAATGGATTTTAAAAACTTATTTTTCATAAAAAGACTGTAAAATTAATAGTTTATTTGGATTGTCAATTAATATATTAATATTTTGTATATTTATGATTTAGGGCCAACAGAACCTACGTCTTCAACTTCACAATCAGGTAAATAACATATTCATATTAAATTTTTAACAATTTTTAGATACAATAAAAAATAACGCACAATTAATAAATAATAAACCTCACACAGTTGTTTCAATGTAAAATCATTCAGAAGTGTTATTTTATATAATTAAAAAACTTAAAAAAATCTATACTTTTGAAGTTCAACTATTTATTTCACTAATATATTATTTTTTGGGATTTAGGACCAACAGAAACTTCTGAGTCTTCAGAATCTACAGAATCAGGTAAATACAATAATTCTGCACAATATTAAAATAGCACTATTATTAAATAAAAATATTGCATATTTTTGAAAATTTATATTTGATATATTAATTTAATTATTTTTCATTAGTGAATTAATAAAATCTACATGTATTTTATATGTAGATAGATTATTTTATAAAATTTTATAATAAAAAAAGTTAACATATTTAACTATTTAATTTATAATTATGATTTAGGGTCAGGATCTGAGAGTTTGTCTCCGCCACCAGGTAAATAGATTACTAGATTAAATTTAAATATATATATTTTTTTCTAAATATACACTATTATATATATATATATATATATATATATATATATATATATATATAATAATTTTTTTTAAAAGTATATTAGGCATGATTTTATATAATAATAAATCTGAGTATAATGAAACTATATTATTTAATATATAACATTATTATTTAATATATAATATTCGGTAATAACTTCTGAATATATTATAATTAATATTATTCTATTATTATTAATAATATTTTGTATATAATATATTTTTAATTTAGAATTGACTGGACTTGGAAGTCCGACAACTACAAGAAGAGGTAAAAAAAACTTGTAGAATAAATAGTGTCTCAAGTATATTTATTATAAAAAATTATATATTTTTAAATATTTTATTATAAAAAAATGTTTTAATTAATAATTATTTATTATAGGTGCATCTTCAACCACTGAAGAGGACGAAGATTATGAAGATGAAAATGAAGGAACCGGTATGTTTAATAATTTATATTTTTAGTTTAATATTAATATGAATTAATAATAATAATATATATATATATATATATATATATATATAAAATATATATATATATATATATTATTTGAGAAATATAATTTATATATATTTTAGATGGATCTTCTCAAACATCAAGAGTTCCACCATCTGGTATGTAATTATTTAAATAAATTATCATACATTAAATCATCACTTATATAATTTATTATTGTTATTATAAAATTTTTACTTCTCAATATAAATTCAAGTAGTTTTTAAAAAAAAGTATAATTTAAATTATATTTATTTATTCAAAGGACCAGAAAGTAGCCCGAGTAGATATCCTACAGGTAAATTTTGAACAAACTAGATATAACATTTTGCCTTAAGGCTAGTTGCTTAATGTTCTCTTAATTGGCAATAAATGATAAAAATTTACTGCCTAATCGTACTTTTTTACTTATCAATTATTGAAGTTAAGTTTTAGCAATAACAGTTGAAATAATTTTTTCTTATAATTAGAAATTTTTGAACGGTTTTTAGAATTTCTTTGCCAAACGATTCAGATTGACTTGGAATTTACGTAAAACGTAAAATTCGTTCATTTATGAAGATAATAACAAAATAATGAAAGAAATTACATGAACATTGAATAATAAAATACTCTTATTCTAACATGAATTAAAACACATTTTTACAGATACGGAAAGGAAAGAAGATTCAGAAAGGTTATCATCAGAATCAGAAGATGAATCTTCTCAATCTTCAGGCAAGTATAAACTATAATTAATTAATCAAATACTTTTATTCCAACATGAATTAAAACACATTTTTTCATTTTTCTGAAAATTCAGAACAGATATCATCAGAATCAGAAAACAAATCTTCTCGATCTCAGGTAAGTATAAACTATAATTATCCAAATTAGTTATTATCAATATATTATAGCTTGAAGAATCTTCCAATTTTGCAGGTGCCGAATCTTTACCTGAACCACCATCATCAAAAGGTGAATCATCTGGATCTTCAGGTAAGTATCTAATTTACCATCACTTTTCACTTGCTATATTCGACTATTCGAAACTATTTTGATACCACATAAATTGTCCAATAACCAGAATAATTTAGCGAATTTGAAATTTTAGTATTCATTAGGAATGCGAAAAATCTTGTTATATTTTTATAGAAGGATCGACAGTACCAAAACCAGGAGAACAATCAGGAGAAGAATCATCTGAATCATCTGAACCATCTGATGGTAAGTTTGAACTATTTTTGTCCAAGGTATTTTTAAGTAGTCCATAGATTCAAATATGGCATTCTTGCTGATTTTATAAAAAATCATCACATTTTTCTACAGATTTGTTGCTACAGATTTACCCAATTTTGGATGAAAACAACTAAGTTTATGATCATTTGCTTAGAACTCTTCAACCCATCTGAATTATGATTTTGGTAAAACGCATTGTTTCGGTTAATACGATATATCTTTTCAACCATTCGATTAATATGAATGATGTATTCAGAATATGTATACGTTATTAAATTAAAAACAAATTTGTATAATATTATATATACCTAAAACAACTCGGTATACTTTAAATTGATCCTAAATATATAAATACAATCTCTGAGCATTATGATTTTGGCAAAATGCACCATTTTGGTAAATCCGGCATATCTTTCTGAACATTTGATTAATATGAATGGTGTATTCAGGAGATTTATACGTTATTAAATTATAATTATTTTCATTATTACCCAAATCAATTTTGATGTATTTTTACAGAAGTATCGCAATCAGCAGAAACAGGAGAAGAATCATCTGAGCCATCTGATGGTAAGTTTGAACTATTCTTGTCCAAAGTATTTTTTGAGGAGTGATTAGATTTAAAAATGGTAACGCTGTTTTTTTAACAAATTATCACTTTTTACTTATTGCTACGAATTTACCTAATCTTGGATAAAAACAACTAATTTTATGATCATTTGCTTATAACTCTCCATACCATCTTAATTTTTGAAATTCTAAGTCATCTTAAATCTACAACTTTTCCAGATATTTTCTCAGTAATTTAGTCATAATAATATTTCTTCTAGTAATAAACAAATCCGTTATAATTTCACTTTTTATTCGTTACTACAAATTTACTCAATTTTGGATAAAAACAACTAATTTTAATATCATTTGCTTAGAACTCTTCATACTATCTTAAAATTTGAATTTCTGAGTTATCTTCTCCTTCATATGTTTTTAGCAATTTAGTCATAATAATATTCCTTTTAGTAATAAACAAGCCTGTTATAATTTCACTTTTTACTCGTTACTAAAAATTTACCCAATTCTGGATAAAAACAACAAATTATTAGTAAGATCATTTGCTTAGAACTCTTCATACCATTGTAATATTTGAATTTCGGAGTTATACTAAACCCTTCAACCTGGAACTATTCTAGATATTTTTAGTTATTTAGTCATAATAATATTTCTTGTAGTGATAAATAAGTCTTTTACAATTTTATTTCACAAACTTCTAAATTTATATCAAATTTTTGATAGAATCCAGCTTGTCTCCAAGTAGTGAAGAAATTTCTGAGAGTGGATTTGGATCCAGCAGTGAATCAGGTACTTTTGGTAAAAAAATCAAGATGAAATTTATTTATCAAATAATCTTAAAAGTAAAACAAATCTAATAAATATTCAGATGATTACGATTCCTGGGGAAGTGGATTATGGGACAGCTTATATTCTTCCAGCAGTGAATCTTCATCATCAGGTAATAAAAGCAAAATTTATAACTATAAGGTCCGTCAGATAACATTTTTTTTTTGAAAATGCTATGTATGGACAACTGAATATTTTCCGATCTAAATCTTTTCTATTTAAAAGTGCAATCCTTCTGGTAAATAATCGAAAATAATTTCATTGAAACAGCTGATTAACTTTCAAATAGCTGGCAAAAAATTCTAAATTGATGCCAATGAAGAAAAGTTATATGGCGGGCCCTTTACTTCTAGTTTTCTGTTATTGTGTAATGTCTGATTATTTGCTTCCATGCTTCTTGTTAACATTTTTGGTTTACTTCTACTTAAGTTTTTTGCTAACTTTAATTTTTATTATTTTTTTTAGATTCTAGTGACTTATGGTGGAAACCTTGGTACAGGTCACCATCATCATCATCATCATCAAGTAGCTCTTCATCTTCAGGTAATATTGGTAAAAATTCCATTTACCTTTCCATCAACTTTATCATCTTTACCAACTAAAAATTTGTCGTTTTTTAAATTTTGTTCAGATTCTTGGCCAAGGAGAAGGAAATACAGGGACAGCTCATCATCATCCAGTAGTGATTCATCATCTTCAGGTAAAATTTGCAAAAAATTGTTAAAGACATTCAATTTACCATTTAATCATTAAATTGATTTCAGTAGCATGAGTAACTTACATTAGATTTTTTTATTTGAAACGTAAATTAATTTAATACTTTGCAAAAGTTGTCATTCCAAAGATTGACATGATGTTAGATTTACCAAATCTTTATAATTTTTTAGACAACAGAAGGCATAGAAGATATTGGGACAGTAGCTCATCATCATCTAGTAGCTCATCATCATCTTCAGGTAAACCTGGTAAAACATTTTTGAACACTCTTGTAAGTAAATTTAAATTCACCAATTTTTGATAAATAAATTTTTTAGACGACAGGAGACATAGAAGAATTTGGGACAAAAGCTCATCGTCATCTAGTAGCGAATCTTCAGGTAAAATTTAAATTTTGCTGTTTGAAAACTTTATTTGGCAACTTCAATATCTTTTTTTTAGGATTTCGTAAACCATGGAATAGAAGACCTTGGGACTTCTCGTCATCATCTATTAGTGATTCTTCATATTCAGGTAAATAAACTTTGGTAGTCAAAAAATATGGATTCACCAATTTTCATCATTTTTTTTAGACTATAGTGACTACAGCCTACCTTGGGGCAGCAATTCTTTGTCATCTAGTAGTGATTCGTCATCTTCAGGTAAAATACCCAAAAAACTTCTGATTTTGCAGTTTAAGGGGGCAATTCTGCCATAGCATAGCTCATAAAATAGCGTTGTCCTGGCAACGCTATTTTCTGCTTGTTCTTGGTATTGAAAATTAAGACAATTTCTAAATATTTGCCATGCGATCATGCGTATTTTACATATAACAAACTAGGAAGAATGTTATCATAACAGAATTCTAGACGGTGCAGTTATCATATGATTATTAACTTCCCGTAGGGAAAGCTATAGTAATCGCAAAAAAATCGAAAATGAAAATTTTTATATATCTTTACGTTTCAGAGGTTTCTGAACATTTTGGCATACCTTAGAAAAAATGGATGTATGTGTGTGTGTGTGTGTGTGTGTGTGTATGTATGTATGTATGTGCGTGTGTGTATGTATGTGCGGATACAAATTTTCGTCGACGATTTCGGGAACACGGATCAACCGATTTGAATAATTCAAAAAACATTCGATCCGTATTGATAAGGAGACGTGCTGATTAGTTTTGGCGAAGGCAGGTCTAGCCGTTCCGAAGATACGGGGCAAAAAGTGCCGAAAACGGTAACTCAGTTTTTAAGAGAACGGAGCGTCCGATTTGAATAATTCAAAAAACATTTCACTTGTATTGACAAGATGAAGAATCGATAAAATGAAGGTAGGTCTAGCGGTTTCGGAGATATGGAGGAAAAAGTAAAAAAATGAGCCATTTGGCGGTCAAAAATAATCATTAGACATATGCACATCAAATTATCAGATATTTTAAAGAGATTTTAACAATAAGTATACATTTTGTTAACATTTCTATGGGTTCCGTACCAATGCTTATGCGTTAGACAGCGACGCGGCGCTTTATATTTTGTCCCTATGCAGTTAAAGCAGTACGATTGCTTTGAAAAAAGTTCAGATCTTCTACAATATGTCAAAATAAAGAAAAAAAAAATTTTTTCAAAAAAAAAATTAAAAAAAAATGTTTTTTAAAAAAAAATTTTTTTCAAAAAAAAGTTATTTTTGTCCAATTATAGCTTCTCAAAAATCTTATTCTTTCAAAGTAAAATTTTTTCAAAAATGTTAATTGTTTTTAAAAAAATAATAATTTTGGTACGGGAAGTTCCAGCAATTTGCCTTAAGGCACGATGCCTTAATTGCCTTAAGACAGAATTCCACTTACAGCTAGTTCCTCTCTTGTTTGCATATAAAATACGCTTGTTCGCCCGGCAAATATGAAGACATTTTTATAATTTCCAATACCAAGAATAAGCATATAAGAGCGTTGCCATGACAACGCTATTTTATGAACTCTGTTACAGCAGAATTGCCCCATAATTTCTGTGGAAATTTGTTTGAAACTTTTGTATCTTTGTTTAGGTTCTAGTGACTATTATGAATACTATGACAGCTCATTGTCATCTAGTAGTGGATCCTTATCTTCAGGTAAGTTTGGACAAAAAACTTTATGTACTAGATCAATTTCCTGAACTGGTGCATTAGCTAATATTTATTGTTTTTGACAGATTATTACTATTATGATTCCAGCGATTCATCCAGTAGTGGATCATTAGGTAATATCACAAAAAATCTAGGTTGTCTTGATCACCAGTTTTGAATTTGTTTATTTATTTCTCAGATTCTAGTGAATCTTGGGGCCCATGGGACAGCTTCTCATCCAGTAGTGGATCATCAGGTAAAATCATGGTCAAACACAAATTTTTGTCAATAGATGAAAACAAACACCACACTTTCTACATTTCTTATTTTTTAGGATCTAGTGAATACTGGAGCGATGAATGGGATAGTTCCTATAGTGGGTCATCAGGTAAATATCCATAACAAATCTATTTTTTTTGTCAATTGATAGAAACCAGTACCAGCTTTGGCTTTGTTTATTTTTTATATTGTCTTTAGATTCAAGTGGATCCTGGAGTGGATCTTCAAGTAACATTTATCAATAACCAGCAAAAATTTAATATTATGTTTAGAGATTTTTGGAACAAATTATCTGAGCTCCTTAAAAAAATCATTGCCCTTTGGTCAACAATTTATAAAAATTATCTAGATCTATGGTTTTGATAAAATTAAATATAAAGGTCAAATTTGGGAACAAATCATCCTTCAAATTTCTGATTGGTCAAAATTGTAGTTTTCATATACTGATAGATATTTTTCAATTTTTTTTTATATTTTCAATAATTATTACAACTGCTAAATTATTAACATCAAGTAATATTGATAAATAATAACATAAATTTAAATAAATAAAAGTGCAAAGTGATATTTTTCAATGAATATTCAATATTTTTCCAGAATATAGTGGATCTGAAAGTTATCCATGGGACAGCTCTTTATCCTCAGGTAAAATTTATAAATAATTATCATAACTTATATTATCTAAATATTTCTGGACACTTTAGTAGTAGAAATCTTTACAACTTTAATTTTTATAATTCTTATTTTTTTCTAGATTCTAGTGACTCCTCTGGTGGATCATCAGGTAAAATTTCAAAGAACATCATCTAAAATTTATTTTGGCGTAATCAATTGATAAAAATAATCATCACCAAAGTTTTGGCAATCCTTAACAGTTTTTGTTATATTATTATTGACAATTTTTAATATTTATTACAGATTCTAGTGGTATTTGGGGCGGAGATACGCCGTACTACCCGTCAATTAGTGGGCCATCAGGTATTATCATCCAAAATCATATAAAAATCATCAGCAATATTTAGTTTAATATGATTTTTTTTCATATGATTTTTTAGATTCTAGCGAGTCTTTGGGATCATTGGATAGCAGTTATTCTTCAGAAAGTAGTTCATCAGGTAATATCCAACCATTATTTAATAATTGTTCTTCTTGAGACATTGCATATGATTATCCTTAATAATTCTTTTCAGGTTCAAATACTTCCCAGTGAATATACGAGACAGATTCTTGTCATCCAGTGAATCATCAGGTAACATCCAGAAAAATTATCAGTAATTAAATTTTTATTTTAGCGGTTGATAAAACCTATTGCCATAAATTCTTGCTTTCGTAGATTTCATTTGAATGTTTATTTTTTTAGATTCTAGAGTCAATTCGGAAGTAGATCCTGGAAATTTATCGCCCATTGAATGGCTACCATCAGGTAACATCCAAACAAATATGAATATATGAATGAGATGAAACTGAACTATCAAGAATTCTGTTATCATAATATTGTTTATTGTTTATATATAAAATTCGCATGATCGCACGGCAAATAGATAGACATTTTCATAATTTTCAATACCGAGAACAAGCATAATAGAGCGTTGCCATGACAACGCTATTTTATGAGCTCTGTTACAACAGAATTGCCCCATAAATAAAAATAATAAGCTGCTTTCATAAATTAATATAAAAATCTAGAGACAACTGCGTCTAATTTTATGAAATTTCTAAACTTTTTTGGAAAAACCTGTACCTTACTCTTAGTTTGTATTATTTTAACAAATTTCTCAATGGTAACATCCCGAAGGAGAAGTTTATGCTTTCATCAAAAAATCCGATTTGCTAATTTTCCAAATTTGGAAAAAGTATGTGTGTGTGTGTATGTGAACAGATGTTTTGCCTTAAGAATGGCTGGATCGATTTCAAAAATTTAAAAGCCATTCGATGTATCTCGATGAGGACATTGTTTGTCAGTTTGTGCGACGATCGGCCAAGCCGTTTTTTTGTAAATCGCCAAAAAGTGAAAAATTTTTGGTCAACGTTTTAGCCCGCAATTCTGAATCGATTTTGAAAATTCAAAAACCGTTCGAAAGATATTGGTTGGGAATCGTGCTGATTAGTTTTTGGTAAAGATCGGTCGGGCCGTTTTATGTAATAAGATGTTAAAACAATTTCGTCGATTTTCATTATTATTTTTTTGACGGTAGATATCATAGTCTTCTAGATCATACTAAAATATTACCGCCATACGACAACTGGTTTATTTTTCAAAATTCGTGAAAGTTTGCAAAAATTAGTATGGTCTTTAGGCTTTTGTCAAAATTAGAGCTTTCGTCGACGTTTGCTCAAAAACGCCTGAACCGATTTAAGAAATTTAAAAACCATTTGATGTATTTCGTTGTGGTTTTATTTTTCTCAGTTTTGTGCAGCGATCGGCTAAGCCGTTTCTTTGTATTTGGAAAAAAGTGTTAAACTTTTCGTCCCCAAGCTCATACTACTGAATCGATTTTAAAAATTAAAAACTGTTCGAAAGATATTAGTTGGGAATGATACTGATTAGTTTTAGGTGAAAATCTACCGAGCCGTTTTCTTGTAATTAACTGTTGACAAAGAAATTTAAGCCGATTTCAATTGAACTTTCTTTGGCGATGTATATCATGGTCTTATAGAACTTACTGAAATATTACGACCTTACGACAAGTAGTTTAATTTTAAAAATTCATCAAAGTTTGGGAAAATGAGTAGTTTTTTTGACGTTTGTTAAATCTAAAATTAGACGATTTACTTGGTGTGACGATAGAGTACTTGGTCTTAATGAATATACTAAACAATTAAAGTCCTACAAAAAACTCAATTATTAAAATTATTGATTTTTAAAAATTTGCTTTTAAAAAATACTCCGACCGGGTTGACGTGTTCGATTTTCAATATGGTTTAATAAATCCACTTCGAATACTTTTAACTACTCATAAATTCATTTATCAATCATGAATTAAGTCGATTATTTACACAAATCGGGAAGTTCATGTAACTTGCCTCTAATACCAATACCAACTAGTTTCATACAAGTTTTCAAATTTCTGGTCAAAGATGATCAACATTGATTTTGACTATATTTTATATGTTTTTTTTCTAAAATATATAAGACTATGATTTTGATACATTCTTAGACTCAATTTTATAAAATTGTCTAAACTTTTTGGGATCGACCTATTGGTATACTGCTCTTGATTTTAATCATCTTACCAACATTTGTCAAAACACAAATCCTGGTTTTTAAATATCTGGTTTACGGCCATAAAACAATTTATTTTGACTGTTTTTTTTAATTTTTTTTTCAGATTCTAGTGGCAGTTCGGGAATATTTCCTGGCAGCTTGTCGTCTCTTGGATCATCAGGTAAAATCATTAAAAAAAACTCGTCAAACTTTTTCCATTTGGTAAAAACCATCAATTACATTATTTTATACTAATATTTTCAGATTCGAGTGATCCTGGAGCAGTAAAATCCTGGGACAGCTCCTTTTCATCCAGTTCTGGATCATCAGGCAAGTTTATATACAAAATTCACACCAAATTCTAAATTTTA